TACTAAGTGCCATTGAATGGGATCAAGCAGTATTTGACACCTGCTAAAACTCATGAGACTATTTTTACCTCCACTATAGGCACCCAACCAACATCAGGTTTTAAGGAAAGTTACATCTGGAGAAATGGCTATCCTATAAACAGCATTTGGCCCCCCAGGCTCTATACCTCCTAAAGCCCTGTTCTGGTCCACCAGGCCCCTGGAATGGTCAACAGTCGTTACACTCCATTGCTGGCCATTGTGCACTGGGAAAGGTAGGAGGCTCCCAATCCATCCCTCAGTGAAAGAGCAAACAGTGGGGCCTGTGGCTGCTTGGACATCAAAGTTGAGCAAATAGGCCCGGCAGGCCCTGCCTCTCCGCCTACACATCCTGCAAATGCCATCTGAAGGAGCTTCCCTGAGGGGGGTCATGACTTTCAGCTTGTCATAGCACACATCAAAGTTTGCACCACACACGAACTGGGTGCATGGGTTCGAATCAAGTTGCCCAAGAGTGGATACTCAGCCATTGTGTCCAGTTTTAATCCTGTGTTTTCTCAAGTAATTAAGCCTTCTTGCTTATGAACTTGTGACTAAGTAAAGCATCACTGAGAAGTTGTAACATCAAAGTGCCTTCCACCGTCTGTCCATGTTTGGTAAAATTGGATTTCTTCCCCTTCTTAAAGAAAAACTAATTGAATTTAGCTGAAGGCTGGTTATATTTGCACGAGCCAGTGAAGGCGATGCTAAATCAGAGTATCATTCTGGGATGCTGTGGTTTAGTCTTTAGTTGCTCTGGATCAGAATGTAACACAGAATGAGGCACTCAGACTCAGGCTAAACAAGTGCCTGTGGCATGAGGCTTATTAGGACTGACTGTGGGGAAAGGGCTAGCCCCCAGGGACTGCTCCTGGAGTCAATACCACAGCCAAGCTGTTACTAGGGCTGGCAAGGGCTGTCCTAGTAGAATGGTGGTAAACCTTTGGCAGAAGGGTTAGTGAAGATAATGGAATACTATTCCAGTCCTTGATGTCAGCAGTCCAAGAAAGCTTCTGAAGGCAAAGGTTGTGACTGGTTACACTCTGAATCCCTCCCGAGTCTAGCACATCTGCATCAGACACAGACCAGTTGTTGAAAAATGCTTGTTGAGTGCATAAAACAATAATATAAAGGGATGTCAGAACAAAATTCCTTCCTTCTGAAGAACAGGAATTCTCTGAATACCTTTTTTGCCTTGCTCATCAGGAACCCTCAATCTAAATTAATACTTGGTTCCACTAATTATCCGATTTACATTGAGTACAGCGTGGTTAATTTATGTAAAATTATGCACACACATATATAATGATCAATGTCTAGATAGAGGGAATTCAGGTGACTGCTTCCTTCTCTATATAATTTTTACAAAAACAATAAACCTATTTTGGGAAAAGAAAATCTCTGGTTCAATCCTGATATAATTATCTTTCCTTTTACCGGTATGATTTCTGATCTTGATTCAGTTTTAACTCTCCTGTGTACATTTATATTTGTATTTTAATTTAAGTCATCTCAAACTCTTTTTGGAAATAAAAGGAGGAATAAATTGTAAGTTAAGTTCCCATGCATATTTTTCAATTTTGTTCTATAGCACTGTATTTCCTATTCAAAGTTAAACAATATTGTCTTTACTATTCAAAATAAAATAAAATAACGCATACATACTCAAAAGTTCAGAAGTTAATCTCTTGAAGGGTAAAGACAATTGTGTTCTCTCTCCCTCAGGACTCAGCACCTTAGCCAGGCACTCACTCGATGCAGCTGAGGGTGACATGACTAGGCTGCTTTCACGATCTCTCCCTTGGGCTTGTGAGCTGCCAATATTATAATGGAGGTGACGGATCCCTCTTGTCAGTACTGAATCAAGTGGTGCTGCCCCCTTACCTTTACTTCATCCAACTTTGATTCAGGGGTGGTGGCACTTCAGGCCTGGTCAGTATGATTCCAGAAGGACTTGATGATTGCTTAGCCGCTTAGCACACTTCTAATAAGGAGAAACTTACCCACATATGGTGCTGGTACGGATATGATAGCCCTTCAAGACTACCCCCTGGGTACCTTACCAATGAGGTCTATTCACCCTGACCACTGTATTCCTGGCATTCCGTTTTACCAGATTCTACTTTTCCTTTCTTCCATAGCACTTCTTATTATCCTTACATATTATCCAATTTATTTATGCATTTATTGTTTATCATCTATTGTTTATTTATGTATTTATTGTTTATCATCTGTCTCTGCCTCTTTCTATCCAGGGACTACCACTACTATAGGAATAAGCTCCATGAGGGCAGGAATCTTTGCCTCATAAACAGTAGGTACTTCCCAAAATTGTGATATGAACACATAAACCCAACCTGAGTGTGTGTTATTTAACAAAAGATAAACACACACACACACACACACACACACACACACACCTGCTGGTATTAAAAGGAAGAAGACACAAAATGGACACTTAGAAAACCAATAATTAGTCCTAGGAACCAAAGCAAATAAATATAAGCCAACACTTTCACTTTGCTCAAGGAGCATCCCTGATTTGCTAATGGCCCAGGACAAAGAGAGCAATCAGTTAAACCAACAACTCATTAGATTCAGAGAGAATTGTCCCCAAAGCACATCTACTAGCTATCTGCTCACTGATTGACAGTGCTTAAAGTATAGTGTTGGGCCTCCCACAGTGGCGCAGCGGTTGAGCGCTGGGCTGCGAAGCTGCCAGCTGCCGCAGCCTCTGCAGCGCTGGTTCAATCTCCGGCCAACGGCAAGGGTCCCACATGGCGCGCAGACCTCTCCTACGCCCACTGCTCCCCTCAGCAGTGTACTTTGGTCCTTCTGCCTGTTCTGCTCCCTGCTCTTGCTCTGGTGGGTTCTCTTACCCTCCTGCACTTCTGACTGTACCCAGTGGTTGTATAAATAAATAAATAAATCTTAAAAAAAATAAATAAAGTATAGTGTTATTTCCTGTTCAACCAGACCAGGATCTAAATCCTGGAAATACTACAACACGTAGAAGGGCACTCAGTCCCCCTTTTTCTACCACTGGCTATCTCTTGCAGAGAGAAATGCCCACGGCGGGGCAAGAGAATGGTGAGAGGGTGGAGGTGGTGGTAGGGAGAGTATCGGTGACACAGAACAAACAAGCATGTGTGTGTGTGTGTGTGTATGTGTGTGCGTGCGCACGCATGTGCTGGAGTGTAAGAGGCCTAATATGTGCAGCTGGGAATAACAACTCACCACTTGAAACCTGGAACTCATGCACCAGCTCAACTGAGTCTCACAAGCCTATGGGAGAATCCACTCTGCTGCCAGTTCAGTGGCCTCTCATGCTCTGCTCTGATAATGTCCTGTCCACACGGCTCTGGTATCACTGATGACACTGTCTCTCAACATGCTTTCTTTTCCACACTAGACCACAAGTATCCGAGGTCTCTGATTCCTCAAAGATCAGCACAGAGCCTGGCTCAGAGTAGCTATTAATCACATGTTTGCAGTCCAGGTAAAGAAACAGGGAGTCCAAGGGATTTTGAAATTCAATTAAGGATCAGAACCAGGAATGGAGTTCAGGGATCTCAACTGCAAAAGCCTATTTATATCAATTTTTCTTTAACGACTAAGTGTTTGGATTAAAGAGGCAAATAAGGAAATGCAGTGCTGAGATCAAGTTTGGAAAGAGAAGCAGAGAAGAGAACCTCTTGCGTACAGCTAAGTCCCTAGCCAGTCAGAGGCACTACCATTCCTGTTTTATAAATCCGTTTTGTTGGTTTCCACCACATTTATTGTTTTTCCGAAGGTGACCAGTATGAAATAAAAAAAAACCTTCTAGATCTGTTTGATGGGGAAATTTAAATTGTTACCTCCAACTACCAATTTCATTGGCTACTACTACCATGCCCAGTTTGCTTTCCTTAAGAGCATTTCTTTTTGTTCTTAACAATCATTACTTTGCAAAATCACAGCTAGAGACGGGGATGGAGGGAGGAATCTAGCATCAGCCTGGGACCTAGCAGAGGAAGGCAGCAGTGAGATAGTAAAACTCAAGCTTTGCAGGCAGCCAGACCAGGTTCTAAATCCTGTCTGTGTGACCGTAGCCAAGTCACTTTATCTCTTTTGGTTTCACTTTCTCAGCTGTGAAATGAGAATAGTAACATGTGTCTTATGGAGTGATTGTAAGAATTAGTTCTAATAGTTCACTCTACAAAGTGAACTATTTCAATCTTTATATAACAGTTATGTCCTGAGGGAATAGGGAGAAGGTAGAAAAATAGCAGGTCCTCCAATGGGAGGAAAGGAGTGCCCCATCCTCCAACCTTCCCTGGTTTCCATTAGAATCTCCAGGGAAAACAACCCAGTAGGGCCCTCACTGGCACATAACTGTGGACTTCTCAACATGGACAGATGGTTAGATCATGAAAACACAATTTGTGGGCCTCCCTGGTGGCACAAGGGGTTAAGACACAACATATGAAGCTGATGGCAGCCACTGCAGCACAAGTTCGATCCCTGGCCAGGGTGCTACCCACATGGCATAGCAAACCTCTCCTGACTCGCCTGCTGCTCCCTTCAGCAGTATTTCAGTCAATCTGCCTGTTCTGTTCCCCGCTCTGTCTCTGGTGAATCCTCTCATCCCCCACACCTCTGGCCTGTACCCTAGTTCTTGTATGCATAAATAAATAAATCTTAAAAAAAAAACCAACACAATTTGCACATACACACTTGATCATTTACAATGGCTTTCAAACATTTTGTTGCTTCAATGATGCAAATAACTTGCCTAAGATCACCGAGACAATGCATGATGGAGCTGTGATCCAAAGCCACATCATTCCTCTCACTGCACCAAATGTAGGCCAGTACCCTAGACAGAATCACCTCCCTGCCTCTGTAGAAGACCACAGGGGCACAGGAGAACACAGGAGAGGGGTGAGGAACATGATCTGAAGTGATCTGGCTAAGGGAGCGCTGCGTGGAAGGAGACTGACCTGTCATTTCGGCTGATGGCTGCTACCATGAGTGCTGTCCAGCCAAGCTTGTGCCTTGCGTTGACATCTGCACCTTCTGACAACAGTCTAGAAAGAAACAGGGATAGTTTCAATATGTGGTTTATCGAGGATGCACATGAATGCAATAAATGAGACAGTCAACAAATGAGGAGGCTGGGTAAGTCTGGAAATAGAAACCTTCGAGAAATAATTATCTTATTCCAGCTCCTCTGTCCACGTTCCTCCCACCCCAGGTGTTCCCTGTCTCTCTCCTGCTTCCCTAAAATGAGTTTGCCTCCTACTGTTATCCTCTCAGCCTTCTGAGAAGCCTCTCCACCTGAATCCCCAGAATTCCCAATCCCTCAGAACAGAACACTCTCTCCCTGTTTCCCTGCCTATTCTAATCCTACACACTCTCCTGAGAAGGCTTCCCTGATTCATCCAGTCCACAGATCTCTCTTCCTTCAAACTTTCCTGTGGTTAGCACAGAATGAATGCCCAGTATCACCTCTTACCTACGTAGTTCCGAGAAAAGATCAAACACACACAAGGTTACCTGTTTGGTCACTGGAAAGTCTTAAAATCAAGGAAAGATGGAATGAGTGTTAGAAAAGCTGGATTAGGTTCCTAATCACATAGTCCATATGAGTTTATGTGACTCTATACATCAGGGCCCAGAATATAGCAGCACAACAGTTGTAGGACAAACACATGCACAGGGGTTTAAGTGCATCGCTAAAATCCTGAATTCTGGGCCCCAAGGACAAGGGGCCACATAATGTGAAATGAATAGAAAGGGAGTAAATTGAGCCAACTCTCAATAAGCACCCATTAAAAAAAAGGCACTGCCCTTGGAACTTTAGTCATGCTCTTCTTTGTTCTTCACAAAACCATAAGGAACTGATATTCATCTGTTTCCATGGATGAGCTAGCCAATGAGGTGAAATGACTCACTGAAGGTCTCACAGCTAGCTAGGGGCCATTACAGGGACCATTATGATTCCCATCCTTCTTACCCCACCACCCTTCCTCCTCTCTACCGAACATGGTTCCACATAGCACAGGAGAATGCACACTAAAGTGACTTCGGCACTCAACATGGTATGTGCTTGGTCCAGAGCTAGATTTTGAGATGAGGTAAGGAGACGAGGTGTAGCCTAGGGAAGCATACAATTTAGTTGCGGAAGGAAGGCTCAGGACAGCATGAAATCGTGAGCTAGTTGTGTGATTTCTGCAGGAGTTATGTAAGTGCTGTGGGAGGCCAGGAAAGGGAGATCCCAAAAGTCAAAAGCAATTCACCAATGAGGCAGGATTTACTTGTGAGAAATGGGCAGAGAGTGGGAAAGTGGGAGCTGTCCGCTCTTCTGGTTTCTTGCTGAAAGAGGCTGGTGAGAGTCCAAAGGCTCAATTTGTGCCTTTGCACCTTTCTTGCACCACGGTCACAGTAAATGATCTTCTGGACCAGAAGACCAAGTGACCAAATTGCCAAATGACACCTCTGTGCTATTGTAGTAAGCAATGGCTATGGTTTGGGGGGATGAGACAACATCCTGGCCTGTGCTGATGTGGAGGAGACAGGGACTGTTAGCGCCTGATGGGGGACAGACCAACAAGCACATAATGACACACCAGGCAAAAGCTATAATGGGGATCACAGGCTGCAAGTGCACAACCAGGGAACCTAACACAATCTCAGTGAAACCTCAGAGGACGGCCTCTCTGGGGAGATGATGCTAGAGAGTTAGCCAGCCAAAAGGAGATGAAGAAGGGAAGGAATGTTCCAGGCATATGTGAAGTCTCTCACACAGAGGAAGAGGTGGCAAGGGGTATAAGAAACCCCAATAAAGGCTTAGCATGACTGGGGCACAAAATGGGAAGGGAGAATACTGAGGGAGGAGGCTGGGAAACCCTGATCTCTCACCTCTGCTTTGGAGGTGAAGCCCTGGCCTTCTCACCGCACATAGTTAGGCTTTTTTTTCTTTTTTTTTTTTTTTTTTTTTTAATGCAGCAACAATTTCTTAGGGCTAAAGAGGTTTAGAATCTGGGAGATGAATTTTCTATAGGCAAAAGTCTCTTTTTTGTACAAAACCTCTTTCCTAATCTACAAAACCTCCACCTTGTTTAGCAGGCTAAGGTGGTGCAGTAGGCAGTACGTGGTTCTGAGAATTCAGAGACTGGAGTTCTTATCCAAACTGTGATTCTAATGGCACAGCCTCGCTTCTCTGGGGCTTGGTCCAGAAAACCAGAATATCAGGATGGGACGAAGCAAGTCAAAATGGTTTCTGAGGGAAAAGACTTGGGAACAATTTGCAGATAAGGGAGGAAGTGGCTTGCCAGTCAAGACACTACTCAAAAGCAGGGAGGAACGGGAAGGCAAGCTCAGAGACCATAGAGCAGGTCCATCTGCTCATGACAGTTCACAGCAGAGAAACACACAGCTGCTAAGGTCTGCAAGGCCTACAACATGGCCTCAAACACCAGGCAGAGAGCAGAGACCTATTTTGAGCCATGGACTCCTCTGAATAGGATAGAGAGGTGACTCCAGAAAACTGGATAGGAGCAAACACACTCAAAAGACTTTTTTCTTTGTTTTTTACATATGGCAGCTGGGAAAGGAGGTGCCAGGTTTCCAGGTCTACATGAAATCAACCTAGGGTGGGACCCTAGGTTACAAACTCAACCTACAGGGTTGACGGACGCCTGGCACGCATGCATGCTGCCACTCTGGACTCTCTGCACCTAAGTCAGAATCTTTCCCAGGTGCTCTTTCCTGTGAAGCCTTTGGAAGAGCCGCAGAACCAGCCTCAACACTGGTTCCCATCAGCTTCCATCAATCAACTGAAGTTGGTGACAGCAAGGAAGCCCATTTGTCACCCCCTGCACTTTCACTGCAGGCAGTGGGGCTGGCACTGAAGGTCTGGGGACAAAAGAAATCATAAAATTAACTTAATAACTTAAACAGGCTGAATTTGAAAGGGAAGAAGGTAGAAATGTGGACAAGAAACCAGTTTGGAAGTTGCTGTAAGAGAGATAGGCTAAGGCAGGGAAATGAGAAAGCAGGGCGTAGGTAGCAGAAATTTAGTGCAGCCAGTTTTTAATTGCTCCATAATTCTCATAATATCTCACATCTACCACAGTCTCCCTCTGCTCTCCCACGGGTATTGGTCCAGGCAGTTACTATCTCCGAGTCACCAAGAGTCATGCTTAAAGAACATACTCTTACATACACACCCCTCCTTTGAAGTTTTGTGGTTATTTCCTGGGGCATGTACTTGGAGTGGGATCCCCGGGTCACAGCGGGTACCTGATTCGACAAAATGCCAGGGCCCTCTCCAGGGTAGCTGCTTCATCGACCCTCCCTCCAACAGGACAGGGTGTTCCTGTGGATCCTTCTCCCTGTTAACACTTGTCAGCAGCCAGCTTCCACTGCCAGTCCCGGAGGGGTGAAGGGGCCTTATATTTGTGTATCTGATTGCCAACAAGTTTACATTATTTTTTATATGCATGTTATCATTTGGGGGTTCCTTTTCTTGTACATTATAGGGTTTTCTTTTTCAGAGGAGAGGTCGTGGGGAAAGGAGGCTTCTCCAAACTTGCTGTTCTTTCAATGAATCAAGTAGAAAGAACACAGAGCAGGCAGGAGACCCGGGTTCTAGTTTCAGGTGTGCCACCGCCTACTTTATGTTGGTAAGGCATATCATTTAGGCTTCAGTCTCTTTTTGGGCCCATGAGGATCATAATCCCCACCAGCTTCACAGGGTAGCGACACTGGAATCTGAAGGAAAGGGCTCTACAAACTAGAGGGGTAATTCCTAGGAGGCAAATCTTAAGTGAGACTCCAGTGTTTAAGCCCTGCCCAGTAACCTGACTGAGCATCATTCTTTGCAGTCTCTTGGGGCTGAGATGTAATGGAAAAAGCAATGACCCTGGAGCCCAAAGGCTGGAGTTCAGATTCTGGCTCTGTCACTTACTAGCTATGAAATGAAGGATATTAATCCCTGTTGTGCAAGGTGGTTATAAGGATTAACAGATACCACACACAACTCCACAAGGAGAGGGGCACCTAGTAAATCAAGGAAGGACCAGAACAAAACAGACACCACCCTGCAACCCAACGCAAACAACTTTTCATCTTACCGAACTGGGTGGGCCCCTCCTCCACTTCCTTTGGGGCCGCGAGCAGCCCCACGAGTTAGGATTTCCCAAACCAGCTCTCCTCCATTTCATTTTGTTGCTTTGCAAGTGAATGCCCAGCAGGCAGTCAATTCAAAGTCCTGGGCCAGCTGGGCGGGTGACTGCCTGCTGAGAGTGGCTGAAAGGGCCTCTGAGGCCTGAGAAAGCCACCCTTGCTCTCCCCTGTGATTTTCACCAATGGACAAAATACGGCAAGTGAATTAATCTCTTTTAAAAAGAGCAATGCTTGTGACAGAGCACGGTGTCTCCGAAAAGGTTAGGATTCCATCATCCCTGAGATGATGAGTGGAATGCTTAATGCAGGTTGCCACTCAGGGCAGATCAGCCTGTGTCCGGGGGGCCGGGGAGTGGGGGGTGGGCACTGCAGACCTTTCTTGGCTCACTTCCTCATGGAAAGCCCTTCCCTAATGAACTCGGTCTCCTGCCTGGCCAGGCAGAGTTAGGTGACACTAATTGGGGATGACCCAGGGTACTTGACAGAGAGGAGCTCACACCAGCTTTGAATCCAGAGTTGAATCCCAGCTCTCGGACAACTTACAGGCAGTAGAATGGGCCAGCGAAATAAGTGGGAGAGCCTGCAGTTCATATGCAGGTTCTTACTTGCTGGGTGGGTATCCCTCTTGGATGAACAAGTGACTTAACCTCTCTGGACTATGCTCACTTGGTCCCCTCATCTGGGTGACAGCTCTGGCTCTCTGAGTCTATTACCACATCTGTTAAAAAACGGAGACAACCCCACCAGCCCTGCTCCATGTAACACAGGAGTTCCAGGAAGAGACAATGAGACAAGATAAACAAAAATACTTGGCATGCAATGAAGTGCTACACAAACAGGAGTACCTATGCTATTATATATATGAAATATGTACATGAAAGATGCACACAGAACTTGG